CATCCTCTCCCTGGCTGTCTCAGACTTCCTTGTGGGCCTCATTTTGATGCCTGTTAAAATCCTTCTAACAGAGGCTTGCTGGTACTTGGGTGACCTGATGTGTGCTCTCTATAATATAGTTGATTTTATCATTACCTCTTCTACTGTTGGAAACATGGTGCTCATATCCATTGATCGTTATTTTGCTATTTGTGACCCTCTACATTACACCATCAGAGTAACTCTCAACAGAACAAAAATCTGCATCTGTCTTTGTTGGATTGGCTCTGTTATCTATAATTGTCTTATTTTAAAGGACTTTCTGAGTCAACCTGATTCACAGAATTCTTGCCATGGAGAGTGTGTAGCTGTCATTGACAATATCACAGGAGCTGTGGACTTAGTTGTTAACTTTATTGCCCCCATTACTGTTATCATAGTTCTGTATATCAGAGTGTTTGTGGTGGCTGTGTCTCAGGCTCGAGCCGTGCGTACCCATGTTAGAGCTGTCACTATGCAACGTTCAGTTGGTGCAACTGCTAAGAAATCTGAGATGAAAGCAGCCAGGACTCTTGGTGTTGTTGTCCTTGTGTTTCTAATATGTTTTTTTCCATATTACGCTCCATCCCTTAAAGGTGAGGATATTGAAAATAGTAGTTCAACCTCACTCATTGTAATATGGTTGCTGTATTTTAACTCTTGTCTGAACCCAGTGATTTATGCCTTCTTATACCCCTGGTTTAGAAAATCTATCAAGCTCATTGTTACCCTTAAGATACTTCAGTCCTACTCGTGTGATTCTAAAATACTGTAATGACGGGCTGGGGTTGAGATATATTCTAAAAAACCTCAGTACGTAATGTGTAATGATTACACACTGTATTAAAATATTATGCAACAATAAAATATTCAAAAATTTGTATTTTCCTTGAAAATAAAACCAAAAAATATTACATTTCATGGAAGAAGTAGTAGTTTTTGACCTGCGTTGACTTCAGTATGAACAGTATTCTGTTTAATTTAGTAGACATTATGCAGTACAGGCTGATTGATTATGTCGTTGGCAGTGGGTCAGTGTGCAACTTCCAACAAAGAGAGTGTGTGTGTTGAGAGAGCGAGAGAGAGAAAAAGGAGAGAAGGTTTACTGACACATAACAGGTTTGGTTCTCCTCCAAAACAATGACGATACAATATAACAATAACAAAAATAAATCTTGTTGAGTGCTAACACGTGTTTATTTTACCATTGCCCGTGATTATTTACATGTATTGTCTCTTGCAATAACAGGAGGTTAAAATGTAGAAAAACAGTCATCATATTGAAGCTGACAATAAGAATTAAAGCTGCAAGCAGCGATATGGCAACAATCATAATTACGATTATTTTGGTCAATATTGATATCACGATTATTAAATATGATTATTCATTGACATGAAAACATCAATTTATTGAACTTTAAAAAAAATAAAAAATATGAACAGTATCTTGTTAACAGTTGATTACCCTGAACTTTAAGTGTAATTCAACTGAAAAACCAATACGAATATAAATTAAATAAATTATACATTTATATCTAGATTTAAATAAATAATTTCAAATTAATAAATACCAATAAAGAAGATCAACAAATATTTTGGGCTGCACTTCCACAACCTACTGAACATAATAATTATAATAAATAAAAATGTATTAGATTATTGGCAAAGTATTCAGCTGAAGTCACATATTTTCAACTTCCCCACGGCCTTTGTCATAAAGGGCAGGGCCAGGGTTCGAGTTATGTGGGAGCCAATGGGAGCTGAGCTCCCATAAGGAGGGGTCTGAACGCAGTGAAATCATACAACCGCGTGGGTCGCTAACAGAGATGGGGTCGTTACTAAAAAAAAGTAATATATTACATATTACATATTACTTTAAAAAAAAGTAATATATTACACTACTCCGTTACTCTATCCATAAAGTAACTCGTTACTTTACTCGTTACTTTACTCGCAGGGCCGGCCCGCCCCTACCTACAGGCAGATCACGCAGACTGCGGCGCACCTACAGTGTAAGGGCGTCACAGTTTTGCCTCTGCGAGACTCCACTTGCACCCCCAATTACTATTGCATTAAGGAAGACATAACACAAGTCTTTCTTTTGATATGCTCTAAAATAGGCTACCAGCCACACAACAAGCTCACAGTCTGTGAAACGTCAAGACACTAATGAATGAAACCAGTTCAAGACGCATTATTCTTATCATTCTTTATGAGCGCAGTAACGGTAAGGTATCTAATTACTTATTTATTTAGTATTCCATAACTTAGTAACAGAGATGGTCAAACTAAAGTGGTAGAGACACGGCAGAATTCCTACAATGAAGCGGGGCATTGAACTGTTCACCCGTGAGAGGGCGATCAACAAAAGAGAGCGAGCGGCCCCGTTGAGGGAGTTTACAGATGAAAAGACTCAGCCATGTTTATGCAGCACTGCACGTGGAGATGTGGTCTCGCAAATCGCGCAGATTACATAGGCCTACATGTAAACCTGCGGCAGAAACCCCTCTAGTCTGTCAGTGAGTGTGATTATTTTATAAACGAAGTAACGCGTGTCGGGGCAATGTTAGTAACTGTAGTGTGATTACTGAATTACAAAAGTAACGCGTTACACTACTCCGTGAACAACATAATTGCTATTATTACAGTAACGCGTTACTTTGTAGCGCGTTACACCCACCTCTGATCGCTAATACATTACCAACAACCATTATTTTAATCACAAATAATGCATGTGTCAATGTAACGAGTATTATTTACGATAACGAGGTAAATAGGCTAAAAGAAAAACATGTTTTCCAAAAGAACTACGCATCGTATTCTCTCTTGAATGACAATAGGCCTGCACTTCACCTCCAAGGTGCACAATACATTATTGCGCAATGTATGCTTGTGAGCGTGCTGCGCGAGCCGAGATGATGTGTTATGGGGTGTGCGTAGTAGAACCTTTCCATATTTAAGTTTGTAGCAAGCAGAGGGCTGCTGCTGTGTGTGTGTGTGCGTGCGTGCGTGTGTGCGTGCGTGTGTGCGCGTGTGTGTGTATTCAAATATGACTAATATCTAGAGAGCCTTCATTCGCAGTTTAAACTATTAGACACATAGTCCCATCATTTTTAATTTACATTATTTAGCTTTAAAGATACAAAATCAAATACCTATGAGTTGCGCAAATGTACCGCCTACCCTTTTTACTTTTACACAATACTTATGACACCTCATCACATGACTTGGTAAAAAGAGAGACTTGGGTGAGAACATAAATGTCATCAATTATTGTTCTGCTGTCAAAGGGAACAAAGGGTCAGTCACTCCCTTTGACACATCACTAAGGCCTTGAACTTCTTAAGTTACACTCCTCCCTCCTGTGGTTAGTCAACCTGTTGCTCACAAGACACACACACACACACACACACACACACACACACACACACACACACACACACACACACACACACACACACACACACTAACTTGCATGCTCTGTTGTGATTGGTCAACCCCTAAGAGCTGTTCCTCCACTTAGCCTATCACGTACAATGTGTCGGAGTGCTAGCCAATAGGAGCATGAGTGTTACATAGTGATGTCATTATATTATGGAAAAAAACAAAGGAGTCCAATGGAGGGGGGAGAGAAACTCCCTCTGGAAAGAACACATGGATTTTAGCTATTAGACACACTACGGGAAAGAGAAAACCTCAAAAAGATAATAGGTCCCCAGGTAAAAAATATTATGCTTAAATTATTATTATTATTACAATACATTAAAGCGGATCCTCTTTAATGTCAATTGACATTAAAGAGGATCCGCTTTAATTTATTGTTGATGTTACTCTTTACCTTGAAATGTGAAAAGAATCAAACATTGATCCTTCTTGACACACATTTGAAGCTACATTTCAAAAGGAGAAGACGAGACATGCTAGCTCAGAGTAGCTACATGCTCCTGAGAATAGCGTGCTGTTATTTAATCTTACTGTATTTTGGAGTTCATGCGTGGGCTATAATGACATGATGTGGTGTTTTTGTAAAGCGGTTAAACTATTGTTTGGTGCTCAGTCTGTGACTGGCTGTCTATACCTGGGCTTAACGTCTGTCTGGAGATACAATTCATCAGTGACAGCACTTATAATAGACCTGTGAAAGCTTTTCCTGTCCCGTTACATTCCTGCCCACATCTCTCTTGGTTAGAACTGAACATTTGAGCTTTAGGATGTTTTTATTCTCACGCACACTGTCACATTTCTTTTGTATTTGCTAATAAAGCGTATCAAGGTCAGATTCCTTCTGTCTCTATAGTAGGGTTGTTTTTCAAATCTCCCCCGCACGACTTGATTCTTCCTTTGTTTAATTGTGCAAATGAAAAAATCACAAAGAAATTACAACATATTTCACCTTAAACCCATAATGTCACCTTTCTACCTTACATAACATGTCTCTTGTTAGACGCTTTTATCCAAAGCAACTTACATCGATCAATACTTTGGGAAATCCCCACAGGATGAGGGGTGAAGGGTCTTGACCAGGGACAAATTGACATGATCCTCTGATCAACGCGATATCCCACTGAGCCACAGCCTCCCTTTATTATATTATATTAAATCAAAACAATATTTTATTTCACTTATCTACTCTTTTTTATTTTATATTAGGCTCGTCGATCGTCAAATGTTCATGATAACTTACAAAAAGTTTTACTATAGTTGATAAACAGCTGATTCTTATCCATATATAAATTGTCATAAATAACATACATATGTCTTTCAAACTGAATCTTATTGTGACACTGATGCTGTGTTGTATATTTGACACTGCATTGTGCACGATGTTATCACGATCCGCATCAGTATCTCGTCAGGTAATTATGCTTCATTTAAAAACTGGAATGTTTCCGTGACGGAAGCCAGTTTGAAGGAACGGGTTACAAAAATCTGTGAGTTTTTTTTACTGTCCTGTAGAGTAAACAAGATTGTGTTTAATGCAACTGCAGTGACAGAGAGGTGAGGCAGAATCAGTCTGAAGTATCTCCTCAAACACAGAGCTGCCTGACTTATCTCCTACAACTCCAGCAGAGGGTAAGAACACCTGCAAAATATTCTCTGCACATTATTTTATTAATTGTACTCTTTCATTAGCTTCTAGGTAAGCTGAATATAGACAAGAACATCATTTTTGGGTACTTTTTGTTACCTTTGTGCCTCACTTTAAAGAGTTGCTCTGATGTCTTTCAGCAAAAAAATATCCACATCAAGACATATCTTGAGAGAGGTCTTTGTTAACCAAACTAAGATTATTTAATTAATCAACGCAGAGGGGGTGGAAGTGTGAGGTGGAACTAACCTTTTTGGAATTGTGTTCACTGTCTTAAAAATATACTCCTATATAAATATTATTTCCACTTTTAACCATTTTCAGTCATGAACTCAAAAATATTTAAACAGTATTTCAACCCATTACTTATCAGTTTACTCCGGTTTTGTTTTTTATTAAAAGAAGAAACACAAATGTAATTGTTTTATTTACACTTATTGCTTTGGGCTATTGTTTTTTCTTAAAGCCAGGGACATTTTTGATGCATTTAAAAAAAAGTGTGCAGCAAACAAAGAAAATAGCATATATTTGTCTCAAGATGTGAGAATATGGTTACATTTGGTGGAAAATAGTTAATAACGCAACTTTGAAGACAGGGTTTTAGATGGGAAGCATTATATAATAAAAAGCATGACATTTTGCTGTCATGTCATTTTTGCCGTAAGATGAACAATGGTGTTAATGGGTTTTTAATTGGGGTGATTCTTTCCTTTAGGGGTCTTAATGTCTGTATATTTACTATTCAGTTTATTATAGACATTTATAGTACCTAGGGTTCAAATTTGAAAAAAAATATCTTCAAACTGTTGCAAAAATATATGCCATTTACATTAACACATCCAAAATTATACTTAAAAAAATAGGCACAAGGGTTAAAACAAAGATACATAATAAATATTCAATAAAAAAGGTAACTGTGACGACCGTGACTGTGTGAAGTAGTGTGGTTTAACAATTGGAAGGTTGTGGTTTTTATTCTAGCTTCTGATTTTTATAAAAGGGAAGGGTCTTATTTATTAAAGTACATTTCTGCTGCTTTATGTTTGGAACAGAACAGAAATCTTGCAAATTTTCTTTTATCCTTTTTTAAAACTATTTCTAAAGGAGTACATTTTCTTGGTGTGGCTCTTTGGTGACGGTGATGTAGGTTTGTCAGTTCAATAACATTTTCTATTTTTGTCAGTATAGGTAAAAATAAAGTTAAAGCTGGAACATGGGTCTTTATTTACCATTTTTAAACATTGATACTGTAAGCAGCTTTATTTTGAATTGGTGAGAGACAAACTTTTGCTAAAAGCTGCAATCAAGAGACATGATTTATTTTGACATAGGCCTATAAGAGAAAACTCATGATCGAGAAACGAAAGTGAAACCTTTTTTTAAAGTATTTTTGAGGAGCTACAGTATATAAGAAGAAACATTTTGATTTCAATATTGCTTACATAATTTGTGTATGAATATTGAAAATATACGGAAATGTAGATTTAAATTATGTCTAATCTAACTGTGTTTCAGGTCAGCGGACAGCCAACATGATCTGCTTCTTACTTTACCTGGCTGCACTCGGTCTGCTGGGAGGTAACAAACACTCAACAAACACTGCAAACATTTTGTATTTATCACCAGCACAAACTCCAGGAAGTTTATTGTGGTCTGCCAAGAAATAGTCCGCCACCTAACCCCCTGTTAAACGATGATTTGTTTTGTTAGCTAGTTAGCTTATATGTGCTATACTAGGCAGATGTTCTTTCCCTGGGACAGAGCAAGCTTACCGTTTCCCTCTTGTTTAGAGTATGCTAAGCTAACTAGCAATTAGCTCCAGATTCATATTTAGCGGACATGAGAGTGGTATCGATCTTTACGTGTAACTATCGGTAAGAATGTAAATTGGCATATTTCTGAAAATGTCCTACCAATCTTCTAACCCCAACATAATTAATCAACAGGGAGAACAGGCACAACTTGATCAGTCCTTTATAACCTTTAAAATTACTTTGAAGACATATGTTTTCCTTTTTTTTCATTTAACAATGACACTAATGCATAAAACTAAACAAAAGACCTACACAAAATGTCAACTTCTTTTTAATTTGTGGAATATTTAGGTACTGCAGCAACAAACCAGATATTTACCAGTTCTGGTGAGATGGACATCACCTCGTGCCCCATCACCTATTATGGACAGAAATACGACAAAGTCTACGTGAGTAATACATATGCCTTTTGTTTGGTCCTTTGCAGAAATAATTAAAACTAGTATTTTGGCACTGGCATAAACCAGAATATGGCGCTGTTTACATTTCAAGAGCGTCATGAGTAGAAATATGTAGTCATATATTACATCATAGCTGTTGGATCGAGTGTCTCTTTCTGCCTGTTTACAATTTGCATAAGTAGGGTATGGAGTCGTTTCTAGGGTAGACGAAAACATAAGTTCAGGCAAAATATTCGCAGGCAATTTTTTTTTGTTTTTGTGTTGTTTATTTGTCAACCCCCCAAAGTGTAAAGGCCTTAAAGGGGATGTGCACATACTCAAACCACACTGTAGCCTACAAAAAAGTACAACAATCAGGCAGCTTCATTAATATACACAGTACAAAATATGGCATGTAACGTTTTGGAAAAGTAAGAACAGTTTTCAAACTTTTCACCCTCTGTCTGAAACCAGAGCCCAGTCTGCTCTGATTGGTCAGCCGCGAAGATATGTCCCGCCCCTTAGCCTATCACGTACAATGTGTTGGAGCGCTAGTCAATAGAAGCACAAGTGTTACGTAGTGATTTCATTGTGTTACACATTTTGTTTTAAATAGGCGTTTCAGGCAGAGAAGGGGGGCATTTATCATTTATCTAATCATATATGAAAACAAATATACTTCAAGCAACAATTTGTTACTGCATGAATAAAAAGCCTTCTCAAATCTAAACTGTTTTTATGAAGGTTATTGATTGGCTGTGTCTCCGCTGTGATTTTTCAACAGGTAGCCTTCGAGTCTAACACATTTTCCCTCTGCTTCAATGGCTCATACCAAACTGGAATTAAAAATGACTGCATTTTCATGTCTGGAGGAACCGCTGACAGAGGAGGCTTGTCAGTTTTCACTAAAGAAATACCAGAAGGATCTGGAGTCCATCGACTTCTGCCCAACCTCAGTAATGCTGGGAAATGCATCAACATAATACCTTTAAAAGACAGTCAACAATCAGAAGTGGGTGTTCTTCAGTCTCAGTGTTACCAGTGTCACTATCAGATATCAAACATGTAATAATAATACATGTAATGAGAAGGGATATTTCAGATCATGGTCATTTTCAACTTGACCTTTTCTGAGTAGTCTCTGTTTCTGTTTCCTGTTGTCAGATCCAACAGGTTGAACTGGGTAACTTTGGGTCACAAGCAATCCTGGCAATCAGGACACACTCTGGATACACAAATCTGCACGTTGTAAGTATAATAACAGTATATATTTAGAGATTTGAGACATCCATGTGTGGTAGAGAGTGTGATGTGAGCTTGGAGACCTACAAACTGCATCCCAATTTATGAGCTATATCTGTTGGTACACTGGATTATTAGGCATTCAGGAAAGATCACATAAAAGTAGACAAGGCTTTTGTCATGTACAAAAGCACCATTGTCAACACAACTTACGCCATGCTATCAGACAAACGACAATTACAAATCAGGTCCAGAGAGGCTTTTTCTCTGATGGTGTAATGTTTCCAATTTAAAATAAATGTATTATCTCTGCATCGTAAGAAACTCATTTTAAGAACCTATTAGTAATAACTTAATCTGTCAGTGCAGGGGTCGTTTTCTTCTAATTCGACATATTTTTGGTTACATGCAACTTAAAACCCCTGGATTTAAGAATTAAACTCTTTTACGACAGCATGTATTTGTGACTAAACTGTTTCCTGGCACTTTTCAGGAAGCAGATGCACAGGTGGATGGTGTTTCAGTTTTTAAACAGACGTATCAGTCAGCCGAGACGAATGTAGGTGTCATCACAGACGTGAGCGGATGCAGACTCGCAGGTTAGTAAACACAATAATTCCTAAAGTGCAATTTTAGGCCTCAAAAAAGCTACATTTGAATGATTTATTTCCTGGGATATAATTGGTTAACACAATACACCTGTAAGTCTGGCACTTAAACCACCCATGTAATATTTTCCTGACTCTTAGGTGTTGTTTATAAGACCAATACAACAATCAGTGACCCAACAACCTGCACTTCTGTAATGTGTGACTTCTGTGGAGTCGCTACGGTCATTAATGACTGCGGTCCAATGGAGCAATGCCAGGGCGATGGGAGGTAAATATTTGAAGTAATTGTACAAAGCAAATCCCTCCAACACATGACATAACAAATACGTCTCTAAGTCAATTAAACGATGGCACAAAAAACAAAATTACGGGGTTTTTTTTTTATTAAACTGAGCTTACAATTAGTCTAGTTTGCTCATAGGAAAATCATTTTGAAAGCAAAGATTTATAGAAAAAACATTTAAAATAGGATTATCGCCTCATGGTTGTATGCCTCCGTCAACCAATCAAGATGTGGTTTCAGTCACTCAGTCAGTCAGAATACCTTCAGTAGTCCCACAGAGGGGACATTTGCATCGTTACAGCAGGAAAGAGCCACAGACAGCTTAATGTTACATATGTTAAAAACAGTTCTAAGTTGTGATATAATACAAATATTGAATAAAAAAGTTAAAAAAATTAAAAAAAACTTTTAAAAATACAAATCCTGTAACAGTTCTTAGGATTTAGCAGCCAGGTATATATTACACAGTTATTAATGGCATCTATATATAATGTATTTGCACATATAGCACATATTGCTCATAGTTTGATGGAATTTAACAGCAGCAAGTTACACAATTTACAAAATATAAAATACAAAATTCCTTTACTATGTAAAATGTCATCATTATATCATTTTGTCCTATTATACATTTGTGTGGACATTTCATAATTAGCATATGACTTATGTTATAGCCAAATAACCAAATAAAAACTGGGACAATTTGCCAAATGAATCTGTTCATCTAGTAGTCAAAGTCTTTGTTGGTTCCAAATTTGAAAGAAATTCCCTGAATTGCTTAAATTGCTGTTAATAATAAACCACTTTGTGTACATTTTCCATCATATGAGTATTATTTTTCCTTTATTTCATCCTTTTTGTTCAGTTTTTATATAAGTGCTTTCCGGTGTTTTCTTCTAAACCAGTTCCTGATGTTGTCATTTTCTCTTTATATCCGTCTGCCTCCCTCAGTTGCGTGTTTAAAACCATGTGCACGGTGACCGGCTCGGCTGTCATCAACATTGTCGGCAGAGTTGAAACGGTGCCGGACCGTTGTGGGTACACTCTGGTGGGACCCTCAGTCATCCCTGGCTTCAAGGTGCTGGGGGTTTTCCAGGAAAGACGCCGGAAGGATGTTAGTTTCTTGGAGCGTGTGATCCTGCAGCTCGACAATCCTAATGTTCAGATTTCTCTGGAACAAGGTGGCAGGGTTCAGGTAAGATATCTACTGCAGCAATCACATGAGTAATGGGTGTAAGACCTCATACAACTCTATACTGTTCAGTACTGACAAACAAAAACACAGAGGATATTCAGACATGTTTGGAATTCTGGCCTTACTGAAAATTGTAAAATCTCTGTGGAGACGTTAAAGACGTACACACACAGGCAAAGACATTGCACATTAGTAAAAAAAACACTAGCCTATGATGGAGGCTGTATACAATGCCTGACTTTCAGCAGGACTAAATAATACTGGCTCTTTGCACACAGTCCAAATTAAAAGAAAATATGGTGTGGTGCCAAAGGTAGAAGTAAGACAAGATATTATGTGAAAAATATGTGTTTTTAAAATGTTCCCCCCTTTGTAAATACATGTATTGCTTTAGTGTCTCTTGGTACAATTGATAATTACACACACGTTCTAATTAGCACACAGAGTACCATTAAAAACAATATTCTCCAAACAGAAAAAGGTCTAAGGTATTTAGTGCTCTTATAATAGGAAATGTTTTGCCTTCATTTGACAGCTATCGTCTTATATATGATCACATTTTGGAAGTAAAGGAAAGGGAGAATAAGAAGGCTAAATATAACTGTGTTCATGCCATGAGAAGAAAACAATTTGCTTTTAGAAATGCACAATGCAAGTGCTGTCATTCCAACAGCCAGTGGGTCTCTTATAAACACAAAGCAATGTGTTTCCCTCATTCAGCCACTGAAATATGGTGACTTATTCATTGATATGCCATTGTTTGTGATGTTTGAGTAAATGTCTGCTCTGTGTTGATGAAGCTGGATGAAAAGGTGCTGCAGGTCAACGGCAGCGCTCAGGTGGTTCACGGTGTGGAGCTCTCCAGGGATCACAGAGGAGTGACTGCTCAGCTATCCAAGTCCCAATACACCGTTCATGTCCTCTTTGATGGCAACACCGCACTGATCCACATGACAGGTACACAACAACACACTTGAAATAGGATCTAAAGACATAATATTCACGTTTGGTAGAGTAATACAAGTTAAAAGTGTTTTACTGGACAGAATCTGCTTTTCACAGCAGACATTTTGACTCGCCATATTAGGAAAAGCACTTTCGTATTTAATAATATTAATGTTGGTTAAATTCCACTTAGCAGAGGTCCTGGCATTGTGCATGCCCGCTAGCTAGAATATATGTACTTTTGTATATACATGTATCTGTTAATAACCTAATTCCGTGCATTTTAAAATACAAAGCTGTGTTTTAATGTAAAGGTTTGTGTCATCAAGCCATCATCTGTTATTATTATATTTTTGTGTTGGTGGTAATAATCCTCAACGTTATCTCCTCAATCCGGCCAGCACCAAGTGAAACTGCTGTGCAGGGTTTATGTGGGAATTCAAACACGCCTTTGATTCAAGAGAAGGCTGCTGAACACTCTGCACCTGGGTAAGACCTCAAACATAATGTCTAAATACTGTAACTACTATTTTATTATTTTTTAAATATAAGGCTGATTGACAGACTTTAATCTTCTTCCGCTTGTTGTCCCATTAGCTGTGGGATGGAATATGCTGAGGCTGCCAACAGTAACATCAACTGCAACCGCACAACTGATTGGTAAAAGATTAAACGCTCTTTTGATTCTTAAACAGGCATCAATAACTTCTACGACATGCTATACCTCAACACTACAGAGATGGCAAAAGTACACACATCCTTTACTCAAGTAGAAGTACAGAAACTCGTGTTTAAAAATACTCTGGTAAAAGTAGAAGTACTGACTAAACTTCTTTACTCGAGTAAAAGTAAAGAAGTATGGGCTTCAAAATGTACTTAAGTAAAAAGTACCCATAACTTAGTGTCCTTGGGCAAGACACTTCACCCTAATTTGCGGTATTCACTGTTACATGTCTGATATGTGTAATATGTAATGTAAAGCGCTTTGAGCATTTGGAAAAGTGCTTTAATAAATGTAATGAAACGCAGATGAAAACTAAAGTAACATAGTAGAAAGTAAAAAGTTGTCAGAAAAATAAGTAGTGGAGTAAAGTACTGATACCAGAAAAATGTACTTAAGTACAGTAACGAAGTATTTGTACTCCACTACTTCCCACCTCTGCAACATTAACATTTGTTGGTGTCTTCTAACTCCATTTACCTTTTTTATTCTTATAAACATGTGCCTTACTGTCATTGATGACTGAACTTTTCAGGTGTAATCTCCTGAAAGAGGCTCCCTTCAGTGCTTGCAATGAGCACATCGACCCGGAGCCCTACATGGCCGCCTGCACACACACTCTGTGCAAATACCCTGCAGTGGATGGTCTTAAGTGCCAGTTCCTGGAGGCCTACGTCAAGGCCTGCAGCCTCCACAGCAACGTCACCGTGGATAGATGGATGACCAAAACCAGCTGCCGTAAGACTGTCTTTCCATATCTTCTGTTTTGTTTAAATATAAACGCATAGGTCTGATATGATCTCCTAAATCAGAGGCGTCCAAACTTTTTTCACCGAGGGCCACATACAAGAAAATATATGAAGGGCTGGGCTGCTCATTAGAGGTATATTGCCTCATAAGTTCAGTTATAAGTTAGCAAAATTAATAAAATGTCCAGAGGGTTTCATTTATTTTGTTAGCAGCTCATTCCTCAAAACAGAAGCCTCAGATTGATTATAATAAGGGGAAATAGGAAGGGTGTCTTCAAGCTTGTTAGGTAAATAAGTTATTGGGCTTTTTTCTTATCAACTAAGATTTGTTTGAAAATGTTCCCAACTTTAATTCACTGAATCTATTTGAAAAGTGGGCTAATTAACACATGAATACTACTGTGTAATATATGTTTACATTTATATTTAAGAAGTACAATATAAGACAAGCACAAGTTTCATTTGTGGGCCATATTCCATTAGACATTATACATTTGCTGAGGCCCGATTCAAAATGGTCCGCGGGCTGTAGTTTGGACACCCCTGATCTAAATGAATGAATGAAATATAAGACAACTTTGTTTTAAAGTTCTGTCGCTCTTTTGATTTACATTTTAGCAGTGGTGTACAATAACTAAGTAGATTTACTAAAGTATTTTCCTTAATTTTTCCCTGGCGTGTGTCTGCAGCGGCTGTCCCTCGGGCCTCCTGTCAGGACCGGTTCTGCAGCGATAATGAGTTCTGCGGAGAGAGACAAGTCGGGTATCCTCGCTGCCTCTGTCGTGCCATTTTTGCCTCCAAGTACAAATCGGAAAATGCTTATGGTGAGTCGGCGAGAAACTCACAATTGACTCAAAATCTATTTCATAAAATTCTAGAAGGAAAAGTCCTCCTTTAATTATGTATGTTGCACATCAACTTAATAAGGCAACATGTAGATCTTTAGCAGAAATGAATTACAAATAAGACCTATTGATATTATGCCACTCTTTTTTTACTCAAAATGTTATTCAGGTAAAAAAATGCACAAACAAGTCTTTCAAGTAATTGTAAATTAACTTAGAGATGTTTTGTGATGTTGAATAATTTGTGCATCTCTCTGAACTGTGCTGTTGTGGGTTAGGGTTAGGTTTAGGACAAGTCATTTCGACAAACGCTAAATAGATCAAATGTTTTTAACGCCTTTAGGTGAGCCGACAGAATGCACAAAGAAGTCTGCATCAGTTACTATGGCCAATTGTCTCTTGGAGGACAAAAGCATCGACTACTCCTTCTTACACCTCAATGACGAGGCCTGCAAAGCTGAAATGGACGAACTGACCCACATGGTGACGTTCAAATTCAACAGCAGCAACTCTTGTGGTACAGTGGTCATGGTGGGTATCTTTTTTATTCAGCAAATGTAATATCAAGAAGCAGCAAATCACCTTCACCACAAGAGAGTGTTTGTAATACTTCTTTGTAGTGCAGAGTTTGGTTACGGGCATAATATGTATAGCCTCTCAAGGAAGCATTAGCATACTCTCAGAACTTTGGTTGGTAGGCAGGCAGGCAGGCAGGCAGGCAGGCAGGCAGGCACATTGTTGATATGTATTTAGGGAAATCTAAAGGTGAATGAAGTGCATCTGAACGTGCAGTGACAATGTCTGATAACATGTGATTTATTAGGCAAACAACAGTCAAATTATCTACAAGAACACCATCATGAGGAGGAACCTCTCCGATTCTGGCATGATCAACCGTCAGAGCCCCGTGCTCATCGACTTCTCCTGTTATTACGCTCAGCCGGAGATCAAGAGCTTGGCCATCAGACTGAAACACAGGTGTGTGAAGGGGGCACATTGTATACCTCCAGAGAAGTCACATTTTTGTTACAAGGAGAAGAATGAGCTTACCTTTAATTTTTGTGTGCAGACTAGTATTGTTAGGATGTATCTTTGTCTTCCAGGGATGTGATGCAGGAGATGACTTCTGGAGAATGGAAGTACAATCTGACCATGAAGGCCTACAGTGACGCTGAGCGTAACAACGTTATCCAGCCAGACACCGACATCCAACTGGACCAGAACATCTGGGTGGAGATTGAGACAGAGGGCCTCGATGAAAAAGTGGTTGTCGTGGTGATGGACTCCTGCTGGGCCACCGATCAGCCGTCGCCAAGCGGAGCTCTGAGATATGACCTCATCACGAACGGGTGAGATACTCAGAAATACTTATTTTGATTAATAATAATAAAGCTTTATTTATATAGCGCTTTTCATACAACACATGCAGCTCAAAGTGCTTTACAAAATGACATATCACAAGTTAAAAATAAACAACAAGAAATTCCCCTCAGATTATTTGTTAAGAACTTTAAAAGATACATGCAGCAAAACATAACATTTGATCAGGTTAATAGACACAAGGAGGTAAAATAATGATAATACAAATAAAATAAATAATGGTTTCTCTCTGACAGATAAGACACAAGACAACTGAGTCGATGCAACAAAATAAAATATAAAACCCCACAAGACAAAGTGAACATATAGGTACAACTTACTGTTCGGAGACTCAGTCATTGGTACATGTTCATATACAAAGCCATGCTGGGTAAACTACCACCTTACATCTGCTCACTGATATCACAGAGAGTCGCTAGTAGCTATTGCCTAAGATCCCAGGATGTGATTTTATTACATGTACCAAGTGCTAGGACTGTTTTAGGCACTAAAGCTTTTATGTGCGCAGCTCCTCTAGCTTGGAACACTCTGCAAAACATTTTGAAAATGAGCATTTTTGTTCCCCTGCATCATTTTAAAGCACAGCTGGATGAAATGATATTCGATACTCCTGGAACCTGTCTTTGTGAATACGTTTGTACCCCTGTCATTATGTTGTATGTGTCCTTTTTGTTTTCTGTTACATGTGTAACCAATGTGCGGCAGGTCTCCCTTGTAAAAGAGATCGTAATGGGATTTTTTACCTGGATAAATAAAGGCTACAAACAAACAAACAACAGAAATAAAAAGATAATAGTAATAAAAATGCCATAATTCTAGTAAAGGTTAAACGATTAACAAATAAAAAAGACCAACGTAAAAAGAAAAATTGCTATTGAAGCATGTTAGATTAATAAAATAAGATAAAATGCTTTAAGACCGATCAAATAAATAAAACAATATAAAGGTAGGTAAATAATAAAGACTAAAAGAGCATTTAAAGTGGGGGGGTTGTTAATAAAAAGCTAATCTAAAAAGATGTGTCTTTAAACCTGTGTTTGTTGTTTTTGGCACGTGTTTGAGCAGCTGTGCTAACCCTGCTGACCAGACGGTGAGAGTGGAGCGCAATGGGTTGGCAACGTCCAACTTCTTCTCTTTCAACTCGTTCCAGTTCACTGGCAGTTCTGCTAACGTCTACTTACACTGCAAATTAGAGCTGTGTGTCACTCAGAGTAACGCCTGCGCCCCGGTATGCTCAATATCTGAATATTCAATATGGAACAAAGAAGCGTATGCTTGTCAAATTTAAGAATATTAATGTCTCTTTCCCGTTATTGCTTCCCAGATATGCAGCCAAGGTGCAAGAAGGCGCAGATCTGCCTTCGCAAAGTACGAGGACAAAAACCCTGCCTTGATCACCATGGCCTGGAGTAATTAGGTGAGATGATTCATCCTTCCAGAACCTCTGATGCCACTTAATAATTAGGGGCAACAACAGAATATCTTTACGAAAAAAAAGAAAAACTTTACGTTTAAGGGGAAAAGATGGAGGTTCTTTAAGCTCATGCATTCAGTCTGTAACATCCACTGCCTCACAAACCTTCCACACACCTGTTCTGCAACTTTCAATCAGGACAAGGAAGAAGTTAAAGCACCAAGTTAGGACCCCAGTAACTATTAAATATGGACAATCATGTGATTAATAGATGAATGATTGAAAGCCCTAGTTTTGACAATTGCTCCATAAAGGCAGATTCACACTATCCGTGTTCGCAAGCTTTCAAGGGTTCGCGACGGTGGAATTTGTCCAAATGACGCAAGTGAATTCATTTACTGTGTCTTACCTAAGGCAGCACGGCGACTGCCCATGTTCTTGTTTCGTTGTAACTCCAGTTGGTGTCATATGCACCTGTTGTTGGTTTGATATCAGCAGAATACATTCTAACAAACTAAAGGATTGTTTTGAAGAGGGGATATAAGAGTAGATTCAAAGATTACCAACATGAATATAATTTGTCTTTAAAGGAATACAAAGCCAGCTAAATAGTGTTGAACTTCTGGCAAAAGAAGTCAGCGAACGCACAACGCGGGAAATATGTACGAACCTTAAGAGTCTAAATAAAATCAAAGAGGAGCAAAAGTGTGGCTTAATTTGTGACATTTGACTTGACATGTAGATCATGGGAATTAAAAAACATCCTAAAGACCTCAGAAATCAAACAAAAAAATGTACCTTTAAAGGTAAGTTTGAGAAACCGGCTCGAGATACACTTGTTATATTCCATGGAATGCTCTTAACATCCCGATAGCAATGAATATCTTAAGTGCTTTGACAACAAATCCATAAAAAAAATGTCATCTGTGGAAGCCATAGCGCTGTAAAAAGCACGACCAATCATCTGAGCCGGCCCGGCTAAAGTAACTGGATGGCCTACCTGCCTGTCAGCCTTCCATCTGGGCACAAACTTATCTCGTGCCCTCATTGGTCATGTGCGCGTTCGTGTGTGTTGGAGGAGGGGCTCTGTGAGGAAGTGGCAGATTTTCTCCGGTTGTGTATTTTCAAATTCTAGCGCACTCGAGCTGGTTTCTCCAAAATCACCTACCCCACCTTTAACCTTTTGTTTCTGCCGTTACTAGACAACTACCTTAACAACATGCAACAAGACATTTCCAAAGAGATAAAAGTGTATTTACTGGAAGAAAAAAAACGAGGTTATTGTCTTACAACTAACATAAAAGGACTGAAGTAAGTTATCTTGGTGAAAAATCTGTTGTATGATAGTGAGTAACAACTTACGGTAACTTGTGTTTCTTCTTAGGTTTTCGTGGAAAGCGACCAATGGGTTCAAGACCCAAAATGATTTTTGTTTTGTCTTTGCCCTGATAAAGAATCTGTGTTCAATCATCATTGCTTTATTAATCTATACAAGCACATATGTTTGTTATTACCAGACTAATACATTGATGTTGTACCTATCCTTAAATTACTTTGGTCTTTGTTGGGTTTCTTGTTGTGGTTTTTTCTCTGAGATAGATGAGGCAGAATGATCTATAAAGCATTGAAAGGTACTGAGTTGATTAACAGAATCTGAGAGAGTGCCTGTAACAAAGCACCAAGCATTACTTGATAAGTAAACACAGCAACATGCATACTGTCAAGGTCTTGCAGACAATGTGAAGATTTGTTTGAGATCAAAACCTGCAACCTCCAGTGGCCTAAAGAAGACAAAACATGCTGTATGCTTTCTACCTTTTTTCACGATGGTGTATAATCAATACAAAATATAAAAACATAAATGGGAATACTTGCTTTGTGGGCTTTTATTTATGTCATGAACTAAATAACACTTTAACAGACATTGTGTGGAACATATCGCTTCAAAATGTCATTTTGTTCAAGGAGTAACAAATGAGACCATTACATGATCTGCATATCAGAGTTTGTTCTGTTTGGTATTGTATTTTTAATATACCCAATGTAGCTCACACACACACACACACACACACACACACACACACACACACACACACACACACACACACACACACACACACACACACACAGAGCCTCATTAAGACCCACTGGGGTCTAATGGCTGTGAACCTCTGGCTAAAAACATTTTCACACCTGCTTTCATTAGTGTCATGATGACATGACTGCAATTATAGGTATATGTGATGCAATCGTTGCTAACTAGACTAATCTTTCAAAGTAAACAATAAACTTAATAATTTTTTAGCTGATGATTTATTTGATGACGAAACATTTGTGACTCGGCATATTTACGCATGATGGGTTTTTGCATAAAGGATCCGGTCAGCCGAATCACATAGAAGGTAATATGAAGTAATTAGATGGTTGTATTTAGAGTTAAATACACCGGAAGAGCAGGGTATGCTTTAGAGCTTCTCTTCCTTGTGATTGATAGCGGCTTACACCTTTAATCTAACTTTAAAAAGTGTGTTTTCAGTTCACAACAGTTCGTTTTAGCATTTTGGTCACCTTAAGATTTCTTGTTTCACTTCGTTTGTACTTAACTCAATCCTGTCTGTCCCTTCTGGTTTCAAAAAAGGCCAAAATACTGAACTAAAGGCTTCATAGTGGTGATACATAATTCCATGTGCAGCAAATGAAAGCAAAATGTAGTCTTAATAAAGCAAAACCTTAAATCAGCTGTAAGGGTTGCATGATAGTCACCATAGAGTTAGTGATGGGCTCCTTTTATATGCATGAGAAAGTCTTTAATTTGATAGTGTTTTATTTTCTTGTAAATCATATTTAAGACATTTTAAGACCATTCAGGCCTACATGTTAAACTATTTGATTTAGGACTTTCTAAGAACCTGCAGAAAGCCTCAAAAAGCTAAGGTTAAATACTCAAACTACAGTATGTCTATCTAGAAGAGAAGCATGTAGGACCCTTCACCTTCGACGGATTTGTTCTCAAGCGATGGCGCCTTCTGCCACAGATACGATTCCCTAAACCAGGCCTCAGGTCACAAAGCCAGTTAACCACGTGGTCCATGAAGCAATTCAACTCAGCAGCAGGACAGAAAGACCTGCAAGCCCACTTATAATCACATGAGGGAAGAAAGATAAGTGCTCTAATTAACTACCATTATAAAAGGAAGGCTATACTACAAGGTCCCATTCATAGTGCTTTTCCACCAAGGGAGCTGGTTTAAGTTCAACAAAATAGCAAACCAGTCTTTCTTGTTTCTCCTGCAGCGATGCCGGCTCCTGGCCCTTAAAACTGGTTCAACTCGTGAACCGACAATCTACCCAGCCGGCTTCAAGATCAACGCCAAAGCTGCATACGTCAGAGGCGGGGGAAAGTAGAGCCGGACTATTAGCCACATCACTCCGGAGAACAGTATAAAGTTGGAAAAGTAGTTATTGCTATTTAATAGCTTTGTAAGTTTAATAGCAAGATAAGCACGGCTCTAGCGTAGTCTGATATTCTTAGTCCGGCAGTGACTGTGCTGGTTCAATTCCCCGAACAGACCTAAATATGGAGTGTGGACTGCATTTATCTAGGATCATAATAGCCAACCTTGAGACCTCAGAATCGGGAGCATTTCAAAACCACATTTCAAAATCACCGCGGGGGGGGTGCTAGTGGATCATCGCCGGAGCTGTATTACATTAACATGCTTATTGTAAGTGCACTGCCTTGCGGCCTGTAGCACCTTGATGGAGAATATGTGTGGGCTGGAGTGAGCAGAGGGTCGTGTTGTCGATTCTTGTTCAGTTTTCAGTGACAATCTTCCTCGCCCTCTCAGACTTTGAGTTGCGCGTGCTGCTAAAGAGACGCGCTACCATGGAAACCAAACAATGGTGTAGCTGTATTCAAGTCCGAGTGGAGACAGTCCTGAGTAAATCTGATTTAGTCAGAAATCGGGAGAAATGCGGGAGAAATACAGTGACATCATGTCATGGCGCCTTTCAGACTTTGGTTAGTGGAAAAGAAATCTGGTGCTAAGGTACGTTTTTAAGTTTAACCAACTCCGAACCAACACTAAGCCAAGAACGGATCATCTCGGATGAAGACTCATTTTAGGGGTACCGGTATGTATCACTACAGATATCATTTTGATAACCAAATAAAGCTTGTATACTTTGAGATGACAATACGATAATACACTGTGGAAAAAAGTTATGATGGAAAGATTGAGGGAGGAGGGACAATACTCTCCAACTAAAAGAAAACGTAAGCTGTTGCGTGGAGGAGGAAAGGAAGGAGAGTGATAAAAGAGCTGCGCGACAGATTTCTGCAGGTTATGGTTTAGCTTCCTCTCTCTCTCTCTGAGGATGGAGAGCCTAGATGGAGATGAACTCTGCTACCCACAACTCAACTCCTCCTGCAAGAAACCAACACATCCGTACACTCAGGCCATGCTGATCTATGTCCTGCTTTCATCCATCTCTCTGATCACTGTGGCTCTTAACCTGCTGGTCATCATCTCCATCTCACACTTCAGGCAACCTTTTATGTTATAAATTGTACAAATAGTGACCATTAAGATGAAATTGTTTTTGATCTGGTGAATTGTAGTGAACATTTAGGAGTGAACATACTTAGAAATGACAGAAAAGTTCCTTTTTTCCTTTGCCTTCTTACATTTTTCAAGTCTTAATACAATTGTTGTTCCAGCTTTATAATTACAATATCTGTCTTTATGCAATTCTTCCTCTCCAGGCAGCTCCACGCCCCCACCAACCTCCTCCTCCTCTCCCTGGCTGTCTCCGACCTGTTTGTGGGCTTCCTGCTGATGCCCGTTGAAATAATCTACATCGAGGCCTGCTGGTTTCTCGGTGACATCGTGTGCACTCTGTATTACGTTATCGACTACATCATCACATCTGCTTCGGTAGCAAACATGGTGCTCATATCTGTTGACCGCTATATAGCCATTTGTGACCCGATGCATTACGGCACCAAAGTCACAAAGAGGAGAGCACAAATCCTGGTGTGTCTGTGTTGGATTGTCTCTGTTTTCTACAAACCTCTGCTTTTGTACGATCACCTAGAAAAGCCGGGCCGGTCTAACTCTTGTTTGGGAGAGTGCGTTGTTGTCATTAACTACATTGCAGGAGTTATTGACCTTGTTTTCTCCTTCATCATACCCATTACTGTCATCATAGTTCTGTATTCGAGGGTGTTTATAGTGGCTTTGTCTCAGGCTCGAGCCATGCGTTCCCATATTGCAGCTGTAACAGCGCAGTGTTCAGGGACAGTAACCGTGAAGAAAAAAGAGATGAAAGCAGCCAGGACTCTCGGTATTGTTATTGTTGTGTTTCTGTTCTGTTTCTGTCCGTATTATTACCCCGCTCTGGCAGGCGAAGACACTTCCGTCGACGCTTCGTCTGCAGCTTTTGAGATCTGGTTGGCACATTTTAACTCGTGTTTGAACCCGGTCATCTATGCCTTTTTCTACCCCTGGTTCAGAAAATCCATTAAACTCATCCTAACACTTCAGATACTGAAGCCTGGTTCCCGCGAGGCTCAAATACTATAGTGACACTCCGAGTTGTTTAAAAGTTGTTTTTTATGAAAGGGAAATGTAATAGTTTGCAGCAGTCACAATGTACTCATTAAAGTAATATCACAACGTAGGAAAACTTTGTTACAAGTAAAATACATGCATCATAATTCCACTTAAAACTCATTCTGCACAATCTTCCCTTTCAGAATATAATATATTTTAGTGTTAAATGATTGATGTTTGAATGTGATTATCAGTCTAATGTTGCATTGCTTGGTATGCTCCTCTTTAAGTGCTTTATTGTTGTGTGTGCTTTAAGGACACTTGGATTGTAAAGAAGAGGAAGAGACGAGGAGAGGGTTATGAAATTCATCTTGTTGTAGGATGGCTGTATTTTCTTTTTGTTGGTTATTGTGTCAAGGATTTTGTAAATGTTTTGTTGGAATATGCGCCATGTGATAATATCAGTAACCATGTTGGAAATAAGCATTCTCACTTTCCATGTTATCCTTGCATTGTTTTCTATATCCTTAAATAAAATCAATCTTTGGGGTAATCTCAGTAACACCACACTGTTAGTAAGTCCTGCATTCATAATTGTACTTAAAGCACAAAATGTAAAACCACTAATTCTGCACGAGGGCCAATAACTTGATGAAGAGAAAACTACTTTTTCTTGAAGGTTATTTCAGGTGGTCAGAATAAAACATTGTAATGTTCAGATACAAGTTTAAGGTATTTTAGAAAAAGGAAATTATGTTCTTATTCAATGTTATTAAATTCAATTCAACTTTATTTCCATTGTGCAGCAGAGTTCAGGTACAGGTCAATAAAATGCATTAAGCAGCCAACCAGAAGTACCTATACTAATATATTAAACAATTAACAGAAAGTTCAGTAAAGCATAAGTGATGCTATACGTTACAATGTACATATGTTATGAATGTAAATATTGTTAATATGTTTTTATAGAGGATGACAAGAGAAAATAAAGCATGAAAATATAAGTTGAAGGTACACATCTAGTGATATAATACAGGGTTGGTGACTTTAGAGACAAAAAAAAAGGAATAATATTTCCACTTTTATGATCTGGTGAAAAACGTAACAAAAAAAATATATATATTTGACTGATTATAGGCTAAACAGCATAGCATTTAGATAATAGAGGTCGTTAATAGATTATGTTAAAGATATCGATTTAACTGAAGATCCTTAATTAACCTTAACAACTAATATACCTCAAAATGATGGAGTTCATGCAAACCATGCTCATTACTGATCAAGCTCAATATAATATAGAATATTTTAATAAGAAAAAGTGAGTGATTACTTTCACTTAAGCAAAGCATTCTTGACAAAGTAATTTCTTGACAATATTTGTATTTTCTCTTTCTTTATTCATATGGTATTTCTTGTGCTACAACATAGATGAATGAGTTTTTTCTAAACCAGGGGTAACTACACACTCCATAGCAGACATTATATATATTAGGATGTATGAGAAAGTCCATTAGATTAATAAAAGATGAACAAGACTTAAAGGTCCCATGTCATGCTTTTCTGGTTATTACCCGTCCCCTTGTGTGTTATGAAGGTTTTTATGCATGTAAACGGTGTGCAGAGTCAAACCCCTCAAAGTACACCCTGTAGCGAGTAAAACTCTAACACAGAAAATACCTCCAGAAAACGCCTCGTTGGAGATTGTCATTGTCCATTTGATTCTTCCGGGTACGCATGATGTCAACCGTACCCAGAACGAAATGGACCAATCCGTGGAGCCGTTACGTTACGTCCGCGGAGCCGTTACGTTAAGCCCCCGCTGATTGGTCCAAATTGACCAATCCACGGACTTCCTCACACACTCAGTGCAGGCAGCTCTGCTGATCTCTCCTCCCTGGCTGCAGGCTGATAACAGACAGTTGGGATCGCGGCGAAATTCTCTCTGCAGACTCGTTCTCTCTGCAGACCCATTCTCACAGCATTTATCAACCTTTGTCTTACTCAATATCAAGCCACACTTATTGTTTTTACTTCGGCTGTGACTTTGTGTGTGCTCAGGATGAGTTTGGCTGTGTTTCGCTGTGTTTCGCTAAACAAGGAAACAACACCTCCACGGAGCTTAGCGCGATTCACAACGTCCCGACCAATCAGAGCACACTGTGCTCACAGGGAGGGTGGGGGCTGGAGCTATTGGAGCTACAACGAGCCGTTAAAGGCAGAGAGTGAAATTCAGTGAATACACGTAGTTTACAGAGATGCTGTTTGAGAAACCAAAGTGAGTTTGGAAAATTGCACAATATAAATCTATTCTAGTAGACCTCAACAATGGAATTATGATCAGTGGAAATGGCCATGACGTGGGACCTTTAACATTTCTCGTCATATCATAAGACTCTTAAATGTTGAAATTAAGTTGTGTGAGTAAATGCCCTCTTAAAACAAGAAAACAATTATTTTGTAATGCTGGGAATGTATGAAACCATTGTTACTTGTTAAATCTTGCCAAATATATAAGATAGAATAATTAAAAAAGAACAGTTTGGATATATTTTCTTAAAATTAGATTACTTTTCATGAGCAAAACATTCATGACTATTATTATTGATTATTAGGGATGTAACGATATATATCGAATATCGCGATATCGCGGTAAATAAATGTCTCAATACCGTTGTGAGATTGACAAAATCTACCGCGATTTTTTTTTTTAAACCTTTAATTAACCCGATGGTCCCATTGAGATCATCGATCTCTTTTTCAAGGGAGACATGTCCAACATGGCAGCAAGTAGGTTACAACACGAACATAAAACAACAGATAACAATAAAGGACATCATATTTACAGGGCTACATGTACATACCTAGAGACATTGACAAGTACCAACAGTATATTTATATCTCGCCCTGTCAACAGGGCCGTATCCAGGATTTCCTAAATACAGAGGTCCAAACATGCTAAGGGAATTCGGGGGATACCCCCCGAGATTTTTGGGATTTTCATGATCTAGTTATGGTGCTTTTTAAGTCCTATGGGGGGTCACAAATTGGATAATATATCGATTTCAAACCATGTCAGTGGGCTGACAATGTCAGCATCAATTATTTTGAAAGTGTAATACATAATAAGAATCAGTTGATTGTTACTATTAATGATCTGGACATGCAGAAGAGGCTAAAATGATCACAAAACATTGTCAACAGCAGTGGCGAGCCGTGACTTTTATACCTAGGCCCTCTGACCCCCACTCCTTCCCTCGAGTTATTACGTCGCAGCGTATACGTATACTTCAGCGGAATATCAAAACAACGGCCCGGGGTGCAAAACGCATCAATGAAAGCGACCCTCTACCACACAAAACAACACCTGTAAATAACCCTATTTGTGTTCTTTGAAATTGAAAAGGATATTGCATTGTGTTTGTTACTTTCGTTGCAGTTGTATGTCTTAAGTGTAATTTGGCATGCTTTTATTTTGAAGGCGAGTTAACGCTGTTGACAGGAAGTTGTTGTTGCTATGGAAACAATAAACGTTTCACAGCGGGCAGAACTTGTCATAAAGTCCGCGATAATAACACCCACCCATTTAGCGGGAAGATATGATTGGTCAATTGTACTGTCATTTGACATTACTCTCTCGTTCAGTTACTATAGCAACCCTCTGTGAATTCATAGCTGGACCGCCTGGACGTCCAACAGCTCCTCTCTTCACAGTAACTTGCAGAGACGAGCTTCTTTCATTTAACTCTTCACATTCCAACATAAACTGAATAGGCAGATTCGAAGGATTTATTTCTTTGGAAATGTTATTTTAAATACAATTAAATCAAGTTATTTTGGTAAAACTAATGAAAAATATAACTAAAAAAATATATTAAAAAATATATAATTTGTTTTAATGTTTTTAAATATTATTTTGTAGAATATCTTAGGCCCTCACAGAGGGCCCTGACGGCTAACCTACAGCCTCTCTTCCATCTTCTTGAGTCTCTCTGTCTTCTTCCTGTTCATTACTCTCTCTGTCCTCTACGCTTTCTCTTTGTTCAATCTCTCCCTCGTTGTTCACTTTTTGCTCCTCCTCACTTGTCGCTCCTGCCAGTGAATCAAAAGCAATTCAGCAATTTAGTTCATTTCACTTGTTTGTTTGCATTCTTTTTTTATTTAAATCTGTTTTGTTTGATTCTCAAAAGAGATCAAAGATGTAAGCAAATTGTGTTTTATACAATTGTATCAACTTGTATGTTATTATGACATCATCACAAGACTATTGTTATAGACACATTACATATTTCTCTCTCTCTCTCTCTCTCTTACCAAAGCTGAGCTTCGACTGACTGACGTAGTCTTCTCATTATATCTGAGTCCGTGTAAAAAGAAAACAATACAATGTTATATCTTCGATGTTTTACTCAAATTGAAATAAAAGAAAAGCATTACAACGTTTGTTAAAAGGTAATCCTTCTGACATTGGATGAATGTAATTAACTTTAGCTCTCTAGCTAGTTTATTCACGCAATTTAAACCAAAGTATAGCCTATAGCTGCAAAATAAGTTAGTGTGCATGTTGTCGGACTTCCACTGACTAACGTAGAGCGTTCACACAGGATCTGCTGCTCATATGATGTCCTGATGAACAGAAACACAAGCAACCCACTGGACTCAGATCTCTAGATACCTCATCACTCCTCCGCTGCTCCGGTACAAGTCCGGGCTGCGGTGATTTGTTGATACATGTCGTCTTCTTCTGTTTGCTTTAATCGAGGCTACGTAGTTATGCAGCGCCCCCATGGTCAGTAAATGGAAGTACTACAAAGAACCCCGTTTAGTGTAATTATTTCACAAGTTTTGTTATATACACAGCTCGGAAAATATTACCGAGGTCCGGACCTCGGTGACCTCAATGGTAGATACGGCCATGCCTGTCAATAAGCCTCACCTTCTTGGCAACAACTGTATTGTTTTTGAAGTGGTGGAGAGACAATGCAGAGTTTTACCCACTGCTGTCACCCATGGCCAAAGCATATCCCTCTGGCCCAGCAACATCAGTACCAAGCAAGAGAGTTTTTTCCACAGCAGGGGATTTTGTAAACGCCCAAACATCCCAGCTTCTACCTGGACATGTGGACATGCTCATATTTCTAAAAGATAACCTTGATGATGCTGCGTGAGTGAGTTAGAGTTGAGTTACTTGAAAAACTAAAGTGAAACTTGATTAATTCTATTGCAGGGTCTGATTATTATATTGTTGACACTTTAAAATACTACTATCCTACTAAAATGCTGTACAAATCAGATTTATTATTTAATAAAGAAAACAATTAAGTAAAAAAATAAATAAAAAATTGTTTCCCTTTATTTTTCAATATCGAGAAAAATATCGTACCGTGAGTTTTTGGTATTGTTACATCCCTATTGATTATTATTATGTCTTATTCGACAAAAAGGTAAGACTTAATCCCCGGAAACGCGTTTATTATGCTTTTCAAAAGTCATTATTTGCAGTTTATCAAACCATTATAGAAAACAGAGCCGCCTGGGAGAATCTG